GGGACCCCACAGGGACCCCACAGGGACCCCACAGGTACCCTGCCCCATAGAGACCCCACAGGGACCCCACAGGTACCCCATAGGGACCCCACAGGTACCCTGCCCCACAGGGACCCTATAGAAACCTCACAGGTACCCCATAGGGACCCCACAGGTACCCTGCCCCACAGGGACCCTATAGAAACCTCACAGGGACCCCATAGGGACCCCACAGGTAAGTTTAGGGTGTCCATGGCGGGTTTGGGGTGCCCACGGCAGGTTTAGGGTGCCTATAGCAGGTTTAGGGTGCTGTTGCAGGTTTGGGATACCTATGGCAGGTTTGGGGTGCCCAGGGTAGGTTTGGGGTGTCCACAGTGGGTTTGAGGTGCCCACGGCGGGTTTGGGATACCCATGGCAGGTTTAGGGTGCCTATGGCAGGTTTGAGGTGCCCAGGGCAGGTTTGGGGTGTCCACAGTGGGTTTGGGGTGCCCATGGCGAGTTTGGGATACCCATGGCAGTTTTGGGGTGCCCACGGCAGGTTTGGGGTGCCCAGGGCAGGTTTGGGGTGCCCATTGGGATCTCAAACCCCGCAGGCCGGGAGCGCATCGGGCGGGACTCGCCCTACGAGCAGGAGGGGAAGGTGCAGTTCGTCATCGACGCCGTGCTGGCCATGGCCCACGGGCTGCACTCGCTGCTGGGCGAGGCCTGCCCGGGCGGGGGGCTCTGTGCCCACATGGACCCCCCCGACGGGCGCCGCCTGCTCACCCACATCCGCAGGGTGGCCTTCAACGGTACTGTGGCACTGTGGGAACTACTGGGAGACACTGGGATATACTAGGGTGGCACTGGGAGGGAGATGGTGGCACTGGAGACCATCCTGGGAAGCTCTGGGATTTACTGGGGGGAACATGGAGAGGGATGGGAGCACTTGAGACCATACTGGGATGTACTGGGAGCTACTGTGGGGCAGCGGGAAGGGGATGGGGTGCACTGGTAACCATACTGGGAGCACTGGTTTACCCTGTACCGGGGGCACACTGGGGCTAGGGGTGAATCACTGACCTTTCCTGTGGGGTGGCAGGGGTGTCTCTGACCTATACTGGTGGTTACTGGTTTATACTGGTCCATACTGGTGCACAGGCAGCGCAGGGACACCGGTGTCCTTCAACGAGAACGGGGATGCCCCCGGGCGCTACGACATCTTCCAGTTCCAGGGGGGCAATGGCACCGGGGCCTACCGGGCTGTGGGGCAGTGGGTGCAGGGGCTGCACCTGCAGGTGGGTCTGGGACCCTCAAGGACCCCGGGGTGCCCCCTCTGCCCCCCAGGGTCAGCTGGGGGCATCCCAGTGGCCAAATGGGGGCACTGGGTGGGGGATGTCCTGTTCCCCCTGGGTGGGTGTCCATGGAGGGCTTGGGGGAACCGTGGGGTGCCTGTGGGGGGTGTTTGGGGAGGTCTCTGAGGAGGTTTGGGGTGTTCATGGATGGTTTGGGTTGTCTGTGGTGGGTCTGGGTTTTTCATAGGGGGTTTGAGATGTCCATGTGGGTTTGTGGTGTCCACGGGGGTTTTGGGAGGGTCCATGAAGAGGTTTGGGGTGTCCATGGAGGGTTTGGGGGATCCATGAGGTGCCCATGAGGGGTTGGGATGTCTATAGGGTGTTCAAGATGTCCCTAGGGTATTAGGGGTGTCCCTGGGGAGGTTTGGGGTCTCCCTGACCGTCCCCCCACCAGGAGGACGCCATGGCCTGGGGCTCCAACTCGTCGTCGCCGCCGCCCTCGGTGTGCAGCCTGCCGTGCGGCCCCGGCGAGCGCAAGAAGCCGGTGAAGGGGGTTCCGTGCTGCTGGCACTGTGAGCTCTGCGGGGGCTACCAGTACCGGGCCGACCTGCTCACCTGCCTGCCCTGTGCCCCCCACCTGCGCCCCACGCCCAACCGCACCGCCTGCCGCCCCACGCCCGTGCTGCGCCTGAGCTGGGGCGACCCCTGCGCCGCCGTCCCGCTGGCCCTGGCCACGCTGGGGCTGATGGCCACCGCCTTCGTGCTGGCCACCTTCGTGCGGCACCACGAGACGCCGATCGTCAAAGCGTCGGGGCGCGAGCTGAGCTACGTCCTGCTGGCCGGCATCGCCCTGGTCTACGCCATCACCTTCCTCATGGTGGCCGAGCCCGGCGTGGGGGTCTGCGCCCTGCGGCGACTCTTCCTGGGCATGGGCATGAGCCTGACCTACGCCGCGCTGCTGACCAAGACCAACCGCATCTACCGCATCTTCGAGCAGGGTGAGGGGCTGGGGGGCAGGGGGTGAGGGGCTGGGGTCTCACCTGTGCCATGCTCTCACCAAGACCAACCACATTTCCACGTCTTTGAGCAGGCTGAGGGGCTGGGGGGCAGGGGGGCACAGGCTGAGGGGCTGGGGGGCAGGAGGGGCTGTGGGGCATGGGGTGAGGGGTTGGGGTCTCACCTGTGCCATGTTCTCACCAAGACCAACTGCGTTGCCACGTCTTTGAGCAGGGTGAGGGGCTGGGGGGCAGGGGGTGAGGGGCTGGGGGGCAGGAGGGGCTGGGGGGCACGGGGTGAGGGGTTGGGGTCTCACCTGTGCCATGCTCTCACCAAGACCAACTGCGTTGCCATGTCTTTGAGCAGGCTGAGGGGCTGGGGGGCAGGAGGGGCTGTGGGGCATGGGGTGAGGGGTTGGGGTCTCACCTGTGCCATGTTCTCACCAAGACCAACCACATTTCCACGTCTTTGAGCAGGGTGAGGGGCATGGGGTGAGGTCGAGGGGCTCTGGGCAGGGCTGAGGGGCTCTGGGGGGGCAGAGCCTGGGGTGAGGGGCTGCACGAGGGACATGGGACAGGGTCCCCAGTCTGTGCTCCTCACCAAGACCAGCCCCATCCCCAAGAGAGGTGGCTTCCAGGGCCTCCAAAAGTTTTGGAGTCCCAGATCAGGCTGAGGGACACGGGGTACCCCAACCCTCTCCCCTTCAGGCCTGGCGAGCTCTGGGGGTGCCAGCAGCCCCCCATGACCCGCCGTACCCCGCAGGGAAGCGCTCGGTGACGCCGCCGCGCTTCATCAGCCCCACCTCGCAGCTGGTCATCACCTTCACGCTCAGCGGGCTGCAGCTGGTGGCCGCGGCCACCTGGCTGCTGGTCCGGCCACCCCACGCCCTCATCGACTACGAGATGGGCCGGACCCCCGACCCCGAGGCGGCGCGGGGGGTCCTGCGCTGCGACATGGCCGAGGGGGCCACGCTGGCCTGCCTGGCCTACGCCCTGCTGCTGATGCTCACCTGCACCGTGTACGCCGTCAAAGCGCGCGGCGTCCCCGAGAACTTCAACGAGGCCAAGCCCATCGGCTTCGCCATGTACACCACCTGCGTGGTGTGGCTCGCCTTCGGGCCCATCTTCTTCGGAGCCGCCCAGTCGGCAGAGAGGGTGAGGAGGGGGGTTTGGGCTCCCTGGGGGTATCTGGGGGTCCCTGGGGGTATCTGGGGGATCGCTGTGGGCACACATGGTCTGGTTCACCTTCAAGCCCATCTTCAGCACTGCCCAGCTGGCTGAGAAGGTGAGGAGGGGGATTTGGGGGATCCCTAGGGGTATTTCGAGGTCCGCTGGGGGGTCCGTTTTGGGATCAATGGCCTTTAGCCATTTGGGCATCTGTGGGATTTGAGATTTCCTGCTTTTGGGGTCTGTAGGATTCTGGGATACTGTTTTTGGGGTGCAGGTGCACATACAGATGGCCACAGTGACCATGGGCCCTTGGGACAGCTGGGTTGGGGATTGGCCAGGTTTGGGGGGGTCAGTGGGATTTGGGATGGAGGATTTTGGGGTCAGTAGGATTTTAGGGTACCGTTTTCGGGGTGCAGGTGCACGTGCAGACGGCCACGCTGACGGTGTCCATGTCGCTGTCGGCCTCGGTGCCGCTGGGGCTCCTCTACGCCCCCAAGGTCTACGTGATCCTGCTGCACCCCGAGCGCAACCAGCCCAAGCGGCGCGGTGCCGACCCCCCCCCATAGGGACCCCTAGATTGGGGGACCCCCAGCACCCCAAAACCCCCGGCCCCCAGAACCCCCTCCCCACAATAAAGCTGCTCCTGCAAACCCCCAGAAATGTTTTTTTAAGTGAGACAGAGCTGGTGAAGGGGTGGCCGTGAGTTTATTGGGGTGCAGTGGGGTTTTTTATGGGGGGGGGATAGAGGGGGATCCCTCATTTTCAGGGACCTCCCCCACCAGCAGCTCCAGCCAACTTGTCAGAGTGGGGGGGTCTGGGGGTGCCTGTGGAGGAAAAGGGGGTTTGGGGGGGTCACTCTCAGGACCCCCCCAGTGCCCCTCCAAACCCACCAAGAACCCTAAAACCACGCCTGGGATGCCCAAGTGCCTCTGGGTCCCCCCCCAAATTGCCCTCAGACCCACCCAGGGACCCCAAAACCACCCCCAGGAACCCCCATTGTCTCAGGGACCCCTAAAAATTGCCCTCAGTGACCTCCAAGTGATCCCCCCCAGGACCCCAAAACCACCCCCAGGATCTCCAAGTGTCTCTGGGACCCCCAAAGTTGCCCTCAGTGACCTCCGACATGACCCCCCAGGATCTCTCAGTGTCCCTGGGACCCCCAAAATTGCCCTTAGACTCCCCCCAGCACCCTCCAAATTGCCCCTGGATCCTTAAACCTGTCCCACAGACCCCCCTAATCCCCTCTGAAGGACCCCCAAACTCCCCCAGGACACCCCCAAAGGACTCACAGGGAGGGGGGGGCCCCCCTTGGTGGGGGGCAGCAGTCGCACCCCCCCGCTCTGGGGGTACCCCGGCTCCAGCTGCAGCGTCCAGAGGGTCTGGGAACCCCGGGGGCCCCCCAGGACCTGCAGGAGCCCCAACTCCGGCTGCCAGTCCAGGGCGAACCTGGGGGGTCACCAGGGGCTTGGGGTGAGCCCCCCAATTAACCCCCAGCCCCCCCACCCTGGCAATTACCCTAAAGCCCCCCAGAACTGCTCCAAAGACCCCAACCTCTCCCACAGCCCCCCCAATTAACCTCCCAAATGCCCCTAGTCCTCTCAATTACCCCCTAGACCCTTCAGACCTACCTCAAAGACCCCCCCCAACTCCCCCCCAGGCCCCCAACCTCCCTCAAAGACCCCCCCAGCCCCCCTCACCTGTTCCTCAGGTGTGTCACCTCTGCCCAGAGGCTCCAGCTCTCCCAGCAGCGCTGCTGCAGCTCCAGCAGCCCCGGGCCCAGGGGAGGGAGCAGCCCCAGGGGGGGTTCCTGGGGGGAAAAGGAGGAGATGGGGAGACCCCAAAATCACCCAGAACCCCCCCGACACCTCCAGAGCAGTCCCCAGCCCCCAAGTGCACCCCCACAGCCTTCCTGACCCCCAAAAATTCCCCCTCCCAGCTGTCCAAGTGCTACCCTAAATCCCCTCCAAGCCCTCTCAGTGCCCCCTCAGCCCCCCAATCCCCCTCCCCAAGCCCCCAAATCCTCCCCAGCCCCCAAAATCTCCCCGAAGCCACTCACCTGCAGTTGGACCTCCCCACTGCGGGTGAGGGACAGGTGAAGGGGGGGCAGGGAATGGGAGGAGTCGGGAGGGGGTCCCAGCTCCAGCTCCAGCTCGGGGGTCCCTGGGGAGGGGGGCAGCACCTGGACCCCTGCCAGGGCCTGGTACAGGTGGCACGAGGCCCCCACCCTGTGGGAAACAACAGCCCATGGGTGGGTGGGGAGGACACGACCACCCCCCCAAATTCCCTGGATCCTCCCCACTATCCCAGCAGCCCCACCTGGACCCCCACTGGGTCCCTTCCAGGGCTCTCCCCCACCCTGAGGACCCCTCCCCCACATTGGAAATCCACCTCTCCAAACTCCTAGGTCCCTCTCAGGACCCCTAGACCACCCCCCAAAATCCCCGAGGCCCCCAGCTCCACACCCTACCCTCCTCACCTGTGCCCCCCAACGACCCCCTCACCTGTCCCACCCTCTCCTGTCCCTCACCTGGCCGCTGTCTCCCGCAGTCCCTGCAGAGTCTCCCGCCGGCTGAGCCGCTGCCGGCGCCGCTCCTGAACCCGCTGGAGCAGCTGGAGGGGGAGAAAGAGACCCAAAATTGGGGGGATAAAACCCCAAATTAGAGGGAAAGAGACCCCAAATTTGGGGGAAAAAATACTTCAGACTGGGGGAGAACGAGACCCCAATTCAGAGGAAAAGAGATGCCAAACTAGGTGAGACTGGCTCCAATTTGGAAGGGAAAAGACCCCGAATTTGGGGAGAAAAAGTCTCCAGACTGCAGAGGAAAGAGAACCCAAATTGGGGGTAAACACCAAAAGTGGAAGAAGGAGGTAAGAAGTGGAAAGGAACTCCAGAATTGACTCTTCTGTGGGCAGGGGCACCCCAAGGTAAGTGGGACCACGTGGCAGGGGGACCCCAAAGGGTCTCCCCCCAGTCTCACCTGGTCCCGTCTCTCTGTGGCCTCACGCACCTTCACCTTCAGCTCTTCTTGCTGGGTGGGAGGGAGAGACAGCACCCATGGGAGCCCCCAGACCCACACGGTGCCCCCAACCCCCATGGGAGCCCCCAGACCCCACACTGTGCACCCAACTTCCCCCCATGGGAGCCCCCAGACCCACTGTGCCCCCAACCCCCCTGCACCCATGGGAGCCCCCAGACCCACACTCACCTTCACCTTCAGCTCTTCTTGCTGGGTGGGAGGGAGAGACAGCACCCATGGGAGCCCCCAGACCCACACGGTGCCCCCAACCCCCACGGGAGCCCCCAGACCCCACACTGTGCACCCAACTTCCCCCCATGGGAGCCCCCAGACCCACACTGTGCCTCCCCAGCACCCATGGGACCCTCAAGCCCCACATTGTGCCCCCAGGGACCCCCACCCCCCTAGCACCCCTGGAAGCCCCAGCCCCCCTGAACCCACAGGACCCCCCCAGCCCCCCTGGACCCCCCGTACCTGTTCCAGCCGTGCCCCCAGGGCCGCCCTCCCGCGCTGCAGCAGCTGCTGGCCCCGGTGCAGCTGGGCCAGGGCGTGGGGCACAGCCTCCCCCAGGGCCCCCCCGTACCTCGCCTTCAGCTCCTGCCAGCGTCTCCGCGCCTGCGCCGCCGCCTCGCCTGGGGGGAGCCCCACATCAGCCCCCACAAAACAGGGGAGACCCCAAAAGGGACCTGGGAATCACCAATCCCTTCCAAAGGGGTGCCAGGAACTCCCCAAGCAGGACACAGATGTATGGGAATCCCCAAATATCCCCTGAGCTCCCTCCCCAAGGGGACCCAGGAAACCCCCAAAGGGGACCCAGGGCCCTCCAAACCCCTGCCCCAAAGGGGGACTCAGGAATCCCCAAAGGGGGACCCAGGAATCCCCAAGCTGGTCACAGGAACCCCCAAACCCCTGCCCCAAAGGGGGACCCAGGAATCCCCAAACTGGTCAGAGGAACCCCCAAACCCCTGACTCAAAGCAGACCCCAGAACCCCCAAACCCCTGACTCAAAGCAGACCCCAGAACCCCCAAACCCCTACCCCAAAGGGGATGCAGGAACCCCCAAAGTGGACAAGGAGGGTCAAGAGGTTTTGGGGTTCAGGGTCAACCCAGGAGTTTGGGATGGCTCATACAGGCTGAGGGCAGCTCTGGGTTCAGTTTGGAGGCTCTGGGGATTTCGGGGTTCAGTTTAGGGGGTCAGGGGGGCTTGGGGGGCTCACGCAGGTTGGTGGTGGCCGGGGGCAGCCCCGGGTTCTCGATGACCCCCAGGAGCAGCTTCAGCACCCGGAGCTGGGACAGGAGCAGCTTCTGCTTCCGCCGGGTGTCCTGGGGGACAGGTTTGGGGTGTCAGGGGTGATTTGGGGTGCAAAGAGAATCGGGGAAGGCCACAGAACAGGTGTTAAGAGGTGTGGGGAAAAATAGGGTGTGGAGGGGCAAACTAGGGGGGAAATTTTTTTGAGGAAAACATGGGGGCAGAGAGGATGACAGAAAATAGGGCAGTTGGGAAGGTTTAGGGGATAAATATGGGAGTCATTAGAAGAATAAAGGCCCGATAGGGGGTTTGTGAGAAATTTGGGGGGGTCACAAGTAATTTTAGAGCAGATATGCGGGTGTTAGGGAGCAAATGGGGAGGTCAAGGACAGCTGTGGGACAGACGTGGGTGCTGCAGGTCTATTCTGAGGTGCTGTGGGCAGCTCTGGGGTCTCACCATTTGATGTTCCACCAGGACCCTTGTGGGGATATCACCTTCCTCCTCCTCCAAGGCCAGGGCAGCCTCGAGCGCTGCCAGCGCCCTGGGGACACGGGACACGGGCGGGGATGGGGGGGACATCCCCCAGACAGCTCCAGGAACGAGGAGATCCCCCTGGCACCCCGCAATGACACGAGTGGAAACAACCAGGACCCCTCCTCGGACACGCGTGGGCTCCCAGGGACCCCCGTGGGGATGAGGAGACCCCTCGGAGACCCCCCGGGATAGGTGTGAGGGCACGGAGACACTGCAGCGCTCCCTGCGGGGCTGGACGTCACCCCAGGGAGCCCGTAAGGACCCGGTGACACTTCAGGGACCCCAATGGCACCCAGTGAACCCCCCGGGGCCCACGCAGGGTGGTGGGGGCCGCGCCCGGCCCAAGATGGCGGCGGGGCAGCCCTCAGGGGTTCCCGCCCCGGGGGGGGGGGTCGCGCGCTCACCCCCTCGCGCGCTCCAGCCGCGCCGCCATCGCCGCCGCGGCTTCCCGCCCTCCCGCCGCGCTCCGCCCACCCGAGCGCAGGCGGCCAATCAGCGCCCGCGCCCACCCGGTTTAAGTCTAGCTGGCTAATCGCCGCTCGCCTCCGCTCTCGCCAACCAATCACCGCGTGAGAAAGGAGAAGGGCGGTCCCACGCGTGCGGAAGACAACCAATCACAACGCGCGGTGAGAAAGCCACGCCCCTCACTACCCTGGAGGCCTCAGACCGGTCGCCATGGTGGGCGGGGTTGGGCGAGGGGCGGAGCACTGGGAGGACTGGGTTAAACTGGGAGGGACTGGGTTAAACTGGGAGGGAGTGGGTTATAGGACAGGGTTATACTGGGAAGGACTGGGTTACACTGGAAGGGACTGGGTTAAACTGGGAGGGACTGGGTTAAACTGGGAGGGACTGGGTTATGGGACAGGGTTATACTGGGAAGGACTGGGTTATGGAACAGGGTTATACTGGGAGGGACTGGGTTATAGGACAGGGTTATACTGGGAGGGACTGGGTTATGGGACAGGGTTATACTGGGAGGGACTGGGTTATAGGACAGGGTTATACTGGGAGGGACTGGTTAAACTGGGAGGGAGTGGGTTAAACTGGGAGGGATGGCTGGGGTCGCAGAGGGATCCGCAGTGGGGCCAGGGGCTCTCTAAGCGGCCTCTCCCTCCGATAATCACACAGCTCCTCTTCCCACACCCCCGTGGGGGGAGGGGCCTTTATTCCCCCCCAGTTTGGGGAGCAGGGTGGGGGAGGGGTGTCCCCCAAGCTGGGGGGGGGACACACAGGACACCCCTCCCCCCATCATCGCCGCCGCCGCCGCTGCACCACGGTCCAGCCGTCCGAGGGGGGCGGGGGCGTCCCGCACTCCATGGCCTGGGGGGGACAATGACGTCAGCAGTGTCACACACCCCCTTGGTGACATCAGCAGTGCCCCTCCCCTTCCGCCACAGGGGTCCTGGGGGTCCCTCTCCCTAAATTTGGTGACACCATCACTGCCCCCACCCCTATTCCAGCTTCCCCCCGTTTCCCCCATTTGATGACATCATCAGGACTGAGTGACATCATCAGGAATGACATCATCACCCCCAGCCCCTCCTCATTTGGGGGTCCTGGGGAGTCACCCCCCCTCAATTTAATGATGTCATCAGTATCCCCCTCAGAGTAACAACCCATGATGTCATCACCACATCCCCACCCCCTTTGATGACATCATCAGCACCCTCCCGATCTGACTGGCTCCCAAGCAAAGACATCATCAGCTCCCCATGACATCATCACAGTGATGTCACCCCTCACCTCCTCCTCTTCCTCGCCGCTCTCCTCCTCCTCCTCCTCCTCCTCCCCTGGCTCCGGGGGGCTCTGGGGGGCCGTGGGGGGGGTCCCGGGGGGGCTCTGGGGGTCTCCCCCGGGGCGGGCGGTGGCCAGGGCAGCAGCCAGGGCGGGGCCACGGCGGGCCAGAGCCCCCAGAGCCGCCCCCACGCCCCCCACGTCCCCACCCCGCGCCCGGGCAAAAAGGGTCACCAGCTCCCGGCTCACCTGCAGGGGACACTGGGATGGACTGGGAACCACTGGGGAGGGCACTGGGATGGACTGGGATGGGTGTGGGGGGTGCTGAGGGGTGATATGTGGGACTGGGATGAACTGGGATGTACTGGGATGGGTGTGGGGGGTGCTGAGGGGTGATATGTGGGACTGGGATGAGCTGGGATGGACTGGGATGTACTGGGATGGATGTGGGGGATGCTGAAGGGCGATGTGTGGGACTGGAATGGACTGGGAGGAAGTAAAAGAGCACTGAAAACAAACTGGTCTATAGTGGGAGGCTCTGAGAGCACTGAAGGATGGTAGCAACAGTCTGGGGATGGAATGGGATTAACTGAGCGTGGCTACTGGGAACATCCTTGTCCATACTGGTTTATACTGGGAGCAGCTGGGAAGGCACCAAGGGTACCAGGAAGGGCCAAAGGCCACTGAAAGATGCTGAGAGCAGCCCCAGGACAAACTGGGCTGTACTGGGAGTGCCTGGGGGAGGCTGGCCAGCTGCTGGCAGCACACTAGTCCGTACTGGTCCATACTGGTCCGTACTGGGAGCCCACCTGCTGCAGGCTGCCGTCCTCCACCACCGTGTCGAACTCGTTGTCCATCACCTCGGCCAGGAAATCCTCCACCTCCTCCTGCTCCAGGTCAGCTGGGGGGGGGATGGGGGGGATTGAGGGGGATTGTCACCTCTGTCCCTCCCCACCCCCGACCCTCCCTTCCCCGGGGTGGGGAGGGGCAGCACGCACCGTTCTGCGTGAAGAAGTCGAGCAGCGCCGAGCTGAGCCACGCGGCCTTTTCGGGACCCTGCGGCCCCCCGAAGCCCTGCGCCACCGCCAGCTGCGGGGACAGCCCGGGGGGGACATGGGGACACCCGGCGCTGGCCCCGGGGTGCCCCCTCCGTGTCCCCAAGTGCCCCCCGGAGCTCCCGCACGCTGACCCCCCTCATCTGCAGCGCCGCCCACGCCCCCAGCACAGCTCGCAGATTCCCCAGTGCCCCCCGCAAGGTGTGCCCAGGTGTGCCCAGGTGCGTCCCTCACCTGCAGCGCCGCCCACCCCCCCAGCACGGCGCGGACCCCCTCCGCGAACAGCGCCCGCGCCTCCACCCCGGGGGCCGCCATGACGGCGCTGCGCAGGCCGCGCGGCCGAGCGCCGAACCCGCGAGCGGGCGAGGCACGGAGCGATCCCCGAATCACCCATGGGCGCCTGGGGGCGTGGCGGGCAGGCGGGGCAGAGCGTGGGCTGGGGGCGAGGGGCGTGGCCTCGGGACAGAACGGGACTACAGCTCCCGACAGCCCCCGCGCGGCGGTGGTCACGTGACGTGGGTGAGAGGGTGGGGGGCTAGGGCCTGTGAGGGGGCTGTGGGGGGATATGGGGCACGGGAGG